AAAAGTAAAATTGGGTCCAGTGTAAAAACTAAAAAACTAATGCTGGTAGATTAAAGAGTAGTGGATGATGTCACCGGATGAAGAAGATCTGGCCGGTTGGTTTGCTTCACAAAATGAACCGCAATAAAAAAACAAAATAAGAAGTGAAATAAAATAATAGAAATGTTGTGGTCGGTTAAAACTTAAAACTTAAAAGTTAAAACATTGGGATACGTTTGACTGGAGCGGAAAGATCGAAACGAAGCGTTCCAATCAATGATGTAACCTTTAAATTTAAGGCTTTATAAATACAGATATTAAAGGAGGTCCAAATGGGAGGATAAAAAAGGCCCACTCACGCAGCTATGGGGCCAGGCTTTGGCTAAGTGAAACAAAACGCAGAGTATCATTTAGCAACTTGGAAATGTCATCAATGCCCTTCCGGGAAACACTCTCAGGCCAGGATTTTCAAAATGGAGCAAATCTTAGACATGAATCTCCATTATATATCTTGTAGATTAATGGATGTGATTGTAATATTTATTTTTTAAAATAATTAGTTTATTTATAATTATTTTTAGTGTGAACACAGGCGTATAGCGTACGACAGGTGTACGCTAGCCTGAACTATATATATATATATACGGCTCGTATGCTCCAGACGCATAGTATGCTCCAGTTTTTCACACCGTTGATCTAATCTTACGGTCATTATTTATTATAATAAAGGTATTTTATTATTAATAATTATAATTACTAATCGCACCCCTTTAATAATTATACGTACATCATAATCACTCAAACTATTTTTATCATCATAAATGATATTATAATACCTTATTTCTTTTAATCATACGTTTAACCGGGTGAAATCCGGGGTACCGCATACCTTAAGTAAGAAAACCCTATCTAGAACTTGAATTGACTGATCTTTCGGACATTATACTATACTCTAACCCATAAAGATCAAAATCTAGGTCTTAATTCACTAAATCTTATACCCCAAGATCAATTTAATTAGAAACAATAATAGACGGTTATGATTCGTCCAAATATAGGCAAAAAAAGTAATGCTCCATCTTAGGGTTTATAGTTTATGATTTAGATAATTAGGACCTAGGGTTCACTCATTAAGGGTTAGGGTATAGTATCATGCCCATAAATCATGCTAATTCGAGGTCTAGATAGCGTTTTCATACTCAAGGTATGCGGTACCCCGGATTTCACCCGGGGTACCGTAGAAGGCACCATATATATATATATATATATATATATATATATATATATGGATACGACTCGTATGTTCCTGACGCATACCATGCTCTAAGCCTTTCCACCGGTGATCTAATCTAATGGTCATTATAAATTATGATGAAATTAATAATAATAATTACTACTTGCACCCCTTAAATAATTACACGTGCTATAAAGCCCCTAACAATAATTGTCATGATGTTTTCTCATATGATACCTAATCTCGTAGAGTTCTAATTATGCAACACCCAAAATTTATAAAACTAATATAAAATTTATCCATTAAAATTTGGCTCTGAATGGTTAATCAATCAAACTTCATTGTCATCATCCACTCAAAGGTCATCGTCATCATCAAAGCATCCCCAATTACTACCCTTAAATCCAGTGCGGTTTGATTCTCAACCAATAAACACACGCTGATTGAATGCTCCGGCTTGGAGTTTGGAATTCCGGGAGACGCGGATGAGTTGGAGCTGATCTCCATCAATGCCAGGCAGAGGCTTTGAATTCGCTGCTACCGCTACGGCTGCAGCTGCGGCACCCGAGCTTCGGCGGAGAGGGGGTTCAGTGGTAAGGATCATTTAATTACGAGCCTAGGCTCGAATTCTATCGTGGCAGCGGTGGGGTTTAATGTGTTTGACTGGAGAGGGAAGATGATTGATTCTTCAATTGTTCAGAAGCTTGCAGGGAGGAACCGGATTTCGCTTGGATGTGGGTCTCTATGGAACGTTCAGTTGCCGGAGAAGAGAGACGGTGATTATGGTGACGTGAGCGATTGGTATGGTGATGTAGGGTTTCGGGAGAAGTGAGACAGTGTCGGGATTACGGCGGTGACGACAGCTACAATGGGGTTGCCGGAGAAGAGATTCGGTAGTCGGCGGCGACTATGGGGTTGCCGGAGCTCGCATCTCATAAGCGGAATTCTCCTGGCCGGAGTTGAATGGAAACGGAGAAACTGCAGATGCAGATGGAGATGGTGGGGAAGAAGAATACATAACAGAGGCCTGCCGTGTTCTCGGATAAAAAACACTGAACGACGGCGTTTCTATATAAATGGCATATTTAGTGTTTACAACAGTAGCGTAGCTGTTCGTTTTGGAAAAAATTTATGTGATGGTATGAGTTATGACTAGGAGGATATACGGCTCGAACCACTATCCTAGTCTTGCTGAAGATACCACATCCCCATCTCAGCCGGATTAGAGTTTTGCTTTTTCCATTACACATTACATTATAAACTAAAATGGTGTCCTAGAATTCAAGGCTAAACTAAAACTAGAAAACTGTCTTTGACCATCAGCCACCCCCATTATTCTATATCTGATCTACCATTTGGATTTTATATACAATCTATATTAGTTTCATCCATTGAATATATAAACAACGACCTTCAAAATCAGATGAATGAGAATGGGTAAACCAAAATATACTTACCAAAATATGTGTGCTAGTTTGGACATAGATTGTATTTTAGAATGCTGTCAGAATATGAAATCTCATCACGATTTACTGTAAGCGGTGTACGTCAAACTATTAGTATGTAATTGTATGAATTTTAAGTTTTATGCCGTTGACTTTTAATTTGATTTGTAGTATACGACAATACTTTGAAAAATCGGAATTGTCAGTTATTATCTTTTCATTATATGAATATTATGGTTTGAGTTTACAGAATTAGGGATTCAGGTGCAACCATTAAAATTTACGATATAGTATCATGTTTCAAATTTCGATTGATTCATAATATAAATAGCAAAACTCGATGGACATTCATATTTTGTTGTGGAATGAGAAACCTTAACCGATCAAAATCTCAAATATTGAGAATTGTTGCTTGTACCGTTCATAACACATGTAAAGGGAAAAATATAGTTCAATGATACGGTAAATATTTGTAGAAAATTAGTGTTGGAGATTACATAAAATATAGGTTTAATGAAATGTAGAGGTAGGAAAATTAGCACTCAACATGCTTATCTTGTAAATATCATACATACACCGATGTAATATAAACAACTTTATAACCCTAATAACATGGTACATCTTTTATAACCCTAAGTCCCTAATCAAGTAGAGGTACCTATATGACATTAGGGATTTATTACATTTTTAATTCCTCAGTGTCTACAAACGAGAATATGAACTTTGATCGTGTTGCTAAAAGTTTGAAATATGGCCTAGACTTATGTTGCTTATGAGCATATTTGAGCCCAATACTATAATCGATATAAATTTTTAACTTTGTGGCTAACTCGTGTATAAGGTTCATGTATTTCACACTTTAAAGTCCATCTGATTAGTCTTATACAATTTTTTATATGGATACGTTATTTACAGTTGTTAAATCGTGTATTGTTTATAGCCGCCAAAGGGTTTTCACAGGCTTCATTATCCTCTTGATTTGATGTATGGCAATCACATGCTCTGTATGATCGATTCTCATAGTCATCCCACGTGTAGACGAGTCATATTTGATGGGTTGACTTCTGTTTGGAAACCGAGCTGTCTCAATCTTTTTATACGACATCGTATAATTTTTTTTTGTCCGTGTTGTTTCCCTGTTACAAAGCCTAATTATATACGTAGATCTAAATTTTGAGGTCCAATTACATATGAAATTGTGTTGAAGATAAAGGATAATGAACATAACTACATATGGTGGTCTGACTTGTAGATTTGTATTTTCGCCACCAACAAGTGAAGAAAACCACATGTCGTTGTTTAAATCAGTAACGTAAGTTTAATCATAAATATTATACTTGAAAGATTAATAATTTGAGCATGTAAACGATAGAGATAATATTTAACAACAAATAGGAATCAATACAAGAAAAATACATATTAACAACAAAAATATGATCGGTTGTTTATGTGAGATTAGTAATGCCGAAATTGAAAAGACCTTGGTTGATGTGAATATAAGTGAAAATAAAATAAAAATCCGTTGGTATTAACTTAAGCCAAAGAGAGAGAGATTGGAGGGAAACCAAAATAATCAGCGGGCCTTTTCATTTGTTTTCATTTTGAACTGGCGGCAAACATTTTGATATTCCATCTCCTGCTTCTATAAAAACCCATCATTTAGTGAGAGCCTGAGAGGGATAGAGAGAGTTCTTCTTCTCCCCATTAACGTTGCCCTTCCCCGCCGCCCAAAACCCTAGATTTATCCGCTTCGCACCGCCCTCCAACCTACACGAAGTACAATCCGAGAGTCTCTTTCTCTAGGCGCAAGAACCTGAAGGCTCACTTAACGGCCTCGTATTCGATTTGCCGGATCCTGATGAGCGCGCCTCACAAGTGCTGATAATTGTTACCGCGGTAAGAAATGAACTTTAAGTACTTGGTAATAGTTGATGATTGATTGCTAATTATGGGTTTTATTTTTTTATTTTTACTGTATATGGTTCCAAGAACCATCTCTCGGCAGGATGCTTGGACAACATCAGACCATACATTGTCATCATGTTCAATGTCGGAGTTTACTTAACTCTTCTTTCCAGATTCATTGATGTTCGTCATTTGGGTATCCAATGTTGGACCCTGAGATGAGGAGGATTTATCACATCAGGAACTTCCCTCCGGAGACTGAGTCATCAAAGGAAGGCTCAAAGTTTGTCTTGATAACACTAAGGAAAAGGTAGTTGATTAAAATCCATTATACCTCTTGATGCGGTGATCTTGATGTGTACTGTGAAATATTTGTATTACTTGTAAACCATGTCCAGGTAAAAGCACGGCTACAGATACATTCACAAAATGTTAAAGCCACAATCTCCATTTATTCAGAGATTATCATAAAGGTGAACAGAGTTGCATGGAAAGTTTAGTGTCAATGGTGAGTTAAAATTATGCTCATGATTTGGCTTATGCGAGTATATTGCAGTATCTACCCTATTTGTTTCTTAGATTGAATTAGGATGAAGGAATTAAAAAAATTAGTTGCAATCTGCTTTGAATGACTAGTGTGAGATTTCTCATCTAAGATCCTGTCAATCCTGCCTCTTTAAGCTTGATTTAGTTTCCCCCAATATACAACTATGTCGATAAAATGGAAAAATGAGTCTTCTATGACCTCGTTTATGGAACTTTGGAAGTTGTCATGGAATGATATGTTGTTGTTAGAATCAGACTATGATCATGTTCTTTCGGTTGATGATGCTTCATGTTCCCTCTGCCTCCATATCCAATCCTGAGACAAAGTTGCTTTTTTAGCATTTTCCATTGGACTGATAGAACAAGGAGGTTGATATAATGATTCAATGGTGCACTTTTCTATGGTCTAAGTTGCAGGTCGAGGTAATTCATGTTGCTTCACTTACTAGTGATGTTTTCTTGACAGAAATTTGAAACACGAGAGGAAATATTGCTTGGATTTGCTAGCCTGCACTTCTATGATGGATGCTACCTCTTGTGGGAGATGGCCAACTTTGATGGGATTCTGCTTACTGGAATACAAGTTTAAAAACGTGATCAGCTATGCAAGTTTTGTATTAGTTTAAATTTTGGATAATTATTTCTTTAGCATTTTGTGTTCATCAGATGAGTGCTGTGAATGATATATGATGTCAATCAGTCTTAACATCAATTATCTTCTTAAATACATTGGGAAAGTATGTAACCTTCTTGAAGGACCTATTCTTACTTTTTTGTTTGTTTGTAATCATTCTTTCTGGGAATTCTAGTTTTATACAATAATCCCAACTAAATGCAAGGGACAGACTCGGACAAATAACGAACACCTATGCAATGCAAGAATTGCGACAAATCAGTAGGTAGTCTTAGCTACACCATAAGCACAAAGTATCACTAATTAAGGATCAGAAACATGATAGGTCAAAGAATGCAAAGAACCATATTTAGTAACCAGACCATAAATTTCCTTATGTGATAAGGCGCGAGTAAACAGAACCCAGAAACAAACAACAAAAACTGAAAAATCAGAAGGCCCAGCTCCACAAGTAAATGAAGCTGTGTCTTGAAACATTCAGATCGCCTTGATATAGTGATACTGTACAAAACAAAAACTTGAATAAGACTATACATGATCAGCTCCGCCGCCTCCTCCTTTGCCGCCCCTAGCATCAGCTCCATCCAACCTTCTATTGGCATGTGGCTCCACAGCTGTTACAAATGATAGGTCCCCCAGATACACTCGACATAGGAAAACTTGAGTTATATTGGTTACTGTACTGATTTACTTGATTAGCTGGCAAGTGCATTGAACTTAATCCAGTTTGCCCACTTCCGAAATTCTCCTTTCTAGGAGTACTCAACACAGAATTTGTGGAACTATTTTCTACATGGTGCGGTGAAGCAGTCAGGTTCCCAGATTTGAAGTTTTCCATCACATCCAGAAGGGTTTTGGATAGGGATCCATAGTTCATCTTCTCTGCCTTGACAACACTAGACGTGTTCATCACTGAATGTTTCCTCTTCCACTTTCAACTTGAATATAAACATAACTTGCCGAATAACTTTTAGAAACCCATCGTCATCTTGTTTCTCAAACTTCATAAAATGAAGATCTTTGGCCGACATTCCCATAAGCTCCTCACCTGATTCCTGGAAAGCAGCTAACCATGTTAAGCCCGTGTGATCTTCTATCTGAAGCGAGAGTATGTACCTATGATCACATTCATCAACAGATTGATCACACAGGTCACACCGCCACCTCCTATCTCCTTTGTTAGTAACGTTTTTGTTGCATTGTCCATCCCCAATCATTATAGGGCAAGATGTATAGTAAAAATCATCCGCCTTTATGTATATCACAGCTCCATTGACACAAATCCAATCTGTTTTTTCAGAAATCCCAAGCTTCTCATCTTTGATTTGAGAGATAGTCTTCACAACATTAGTTCTTCCTGCACCAGACCATTCCATGGAAATGAAAATTGAAGTTGTACTTTTACCATCCTTAGCAAACCATTGTTTCAGCTTAGTAGCCTCTAAATACGAGAAATTTCTTCTGGAATTCAGAAGAGAGAGGGAAAAGATTGGGAAAAATCCAACCTTTCCGGCCAGCCGGCGGCGAAGCTTAGCAACCGGCTCTATTGTCGTCAAATACACCTCCGATTGTAATCCCGACCACCGTTCCGGTCAATATCGACGAGTTGGAGGGAGGAAAGGAAGAGTTCGGCGTCGAACCCTATGAAGGTGGCGGCGGCGGAGGAGTGAAGCAACCGACTCCATTGTCGCCAAATACACCTCCGATTGCAATCCCGACCACCGTTCCGGTCGATGTCGACGATTTGGAGGGAGGAGAGGAAGAGTACGCGTCGAACCGCCGGAAGATGATGGCGGCGAGCGGGAGGACGGAGGTTTGCGGCTAAGGGGTAGACGACGCAATCAGCATCGGCATGAAAGGGGTGACCGGGGCGGGGGTAGACGGCGGGTTCGACGATGGTGAACATGAGAGGAGAGGGTTCGACGATGGGTGCTGAATTTGTTTTTTTGTATGGGTGGGGAAGTTCATATTGAAATGCTACAGGTGTTTTTATTTTCTTATTTGAGCCTGTTAGAGATGTTGAAGTGATGATATCAAGTTTTGGGATGGTTTTTGTTTTCGATGGAAATGTTTTGGATGTTTAAGTCATGATTAAAAGAAATTAGGTATCGTACAATGAAAATGAATGAAATAATTTGTTGGGGGGTTAAAGTAAACGTATGAAAATGTAAAACAATCAACTAAGCAATTTTAATTTGTAAATTATAAATAAATTTATTATATTTAATACAGGCCATCAGATTAAATCAATGGTGTGAAAAATCTGTCGCATACTATGCGTCAGGTGCATACGAGTGTGACCCATATATATATATATGGTGCCTTCTACGGTACCTCGGGTGAAATCCGGGGTACCGCATACCTTGAGTATGAAAACACTATTTAGACCTCAAATTAGCAGGATTTTTGGGCATGATACTATACCCTAACCCTTAATGAGTGAACCCTAGGTCCTAATTATCTAAATCATAAACTATAAACCCTAAGATGGTGCATTAATTTTTGCCTATATTTGGACGAATCATAACCGTCGATGATTGTTTCTAATTAAATTGATCTTGGGGTATAATATTTAGAGAAATAAGACCTAGATTTTGATCTTTAAGGGTAAGAGTATATTATCATGTCCGAAACATCAGTCAATTCAAGTTCTGGATAGCATTTTGTTACTCAAGATATGCGGTACCCCGAATTTCACCCTGGGTACCGTAGAACTCCCCATATATATATATGCTCATGCAACTAGCTCCCCGTGCAATGTAACCCTAGGTACCGTCCCAATCGTCGAAGGTCCAAAAGATCAAAAGAAGGCCGAAATATATACATATGTAGTTGTGGGCCAAAACCTAAGCTCAACACTCTAACAACTATTAGAACTTCAGTCCTCTATGGTAGGTGGAGAAATTCGTGGAAATCAGCCAATTTGTGATGAGTACACGTTTTCAGCCGTCTAGGCCATTAAGCTATTTTAGTATTTTTCATTATTATTATTGTTATCGTTAATTTAGAATATTCTTTTGGTTATTTAGGATTATTATTTCTTGTTAAGGAAGTTATTGTTTAGGAGTTGGTCTAGGAGAAGAATAAATCAGTATTTCAGTTTATTTTAGTTTTAGTTCGTACGATTACGCGATGGATGAACCGATCGTTTATCAATTGGCATCAGAGCCTGGTTCGACGGAACCGAGCTCTTGCCAGCTCCCAGGGCAGACATCGTCGACGTTCAACCACCAACGTCGGGAAGAGGTCCTGCGCGCAACCACGATCCGCAGCGACAAGGTGGAGGGATCGCCTACCGAAGCACCACCACCGAAGAAGCTAACCGTAGCTTCGCCATTCGAGATACACGAACCGCCTGACGCTGAGATCTCGGCCACTGGTCTTACGGGAGTTTACAATGCCGCCATCATTCGTCTTAACATCACCATCCTATGATTGCCCTAGCCGGTAGATCTTCGACCCACAATTTCATCAATACCGACATCGCTAAGGGTTTAGGCTTGCAAGCTAAACCAATCTCTCCGTTTAAAGTCAAGGTACGGACTGGGGAAATCTTGGTATGTGACCGATTTTACGAGGCCGTCCAAATTGACATACAGGGGGTACAATTCGATGTGGACTTGTATGAATTGCCAGATTGCGGAACTGAAGTCGTCCTCGGCGTGCAGTGGTTCCGACAACTAAGATATGCATGGATATATTGGAACAAGTCGATCGTGAGTTTTATGAATGAAGAGGTCGAGGTCAATTTGCAGGGCTCTCCCATGAAGAGGGTTATGGACTTCGGAAGGTCCCACCAAGAACAGGACTGGTGGAATCACCAAGGAAACTCGGTGAAGACCACGTCACCAGCGACCATGGCCGCCAAGGAAGACTTCAATCGTGAAGCCGTTGCTGACGGGAAGCTAGCTCCAGCGCCTCCACCAACGACAATTGCGGAAGATGATGCCGCCTTCTCATGCCGCAAGCCAGAGGTACCGGCCGCCCTATCAATTGCTAGTCATGGCTTGGTTGATGCCGCGTCCCACATCAAAGACGTTGTCGCCATCCGTCTTGAAGGGGGGAGGCGTTTCCTTCGAGGGAAGAATGAGGAAACTGAAGTTGGAGGAGTTAAAGGTTTTGTTCACGTCCCAGAGCGCAATTGGAATCGTCGTAAACGAACAGTCGCTCTCTTAGTTGTCAACAACACATGGGGAAGCTTCTTTTTCATCGATCTAGGTTGAGACGTCGCCTGAACTTCGGGGACGAAGTTCTTCGAAGGGGGGAGGATTGATGAGTACACGTTTTCAGCCGTCTAGGTCATTAAGCTATTTTAGTATTTTTCATTATTATTATTGTTATCTTTAATTTAGGATATTCTTTTGGTTATTTAGGATTATTATTCTTGTTAAGGAAGTTATTGTTTAGGAGTTGGTCTAGGATTAGTTTACCTTGTTCGAGAGGGAAAGGGTTTGTAGGATTATTCCTATAAATATGTACTTTGTCTCTATATTTTAATCAGTCAAAAGAAGAATAAATCAGTATTTCAGGTTATTTTAGTTTTAGTTCGTATGATTACGCAATGGACGAACCGATCGTCCATCAATTTGTCTCTAAACTAGGAAGCCGAAAAGGAGGTTCTAGATATATACATTGGGTGTATTATATGGGGTTCTGCAATGGCAGAATATAGGAGGCAGGGGTGGAGCTACTCATGGTCACGAGGCTGGCCCCCAAGAATTTTGAAAGTTACGTACAAACTAAAATTTAGTAAAATTGTTGTGACTTCAATCATAACTTACTCAATAACATATATCCTATACACTTAGCCTTACTCTCAATCGATAATATTAAATTAATATATGTTGTTGATCGTATACCCTAAACCATCAATATATTATAGGGAAAATACAATATATTATCCATAACTATTAAGCAGCGGGGAATTATAGCCACAACTATCGAAATACAAATTATTAGCCAATTGTTAAGTTTTCGTTAACACTTCTGTTAGTAATG